CATTTGATTACAACTTCTAATACTTTCCAAAATGTATTATAACTATAGCCTCGAAATCCATTTATATTCACAAGTACAAAGTCATAAAACATTAAGTATATTTAAGATGTTTCCTCAAATTTCACTTTTAAAAGACATTTAAAGCATAAATAAATGGTACACACGTAATATACACACACACACACACACACACACACACACACATATATATGCATACATTTATGTCTGAGCACAATAATGTATATGTCTTACTCATTATAAATATATCATACACATTCAATATAGTGATAGGACTTAAACACAATCTACAACATGATTATTAGGAGCAAAAGATCAATAAAATTTGGCTGTGTTATAACTAAGAAAGTGACCTTAAATGACTACTTCCATTTAGAATGAATTGAAACATTTCCTAAGATTTTATTAAGCTACTTGGTATAAAGTTCTCTTCAACTAAGGAGATATTGATATAAGTTATTCTAAGTCAATCTTACTTAGCTAAAAATAGAATTTTGATAATTTTTCATTATTTTTGCTGCAAAAATATTTGATAATGTTTAATGGGGAAAATACAAATGTAAAAATATATTTTAAAATGATCTCATTTAATAAAACAATATTTTAGACTGAGTTTAATGTTTTATTGCAAAATTATTTACTTCTTCCATATCTGAAATAAACCACTGCTTGCATAAATGACAGATAAATATATATTCAAAATAATACAGAAAAGATATAAACATGAGATAAAGACAGTACATAAATGAAAAAAGGAAATCACAGGAGAGAACCCTGATACCTGAGGTCTGAAAATGGAGGCTGCATAGAGAGGGGCAGGGGTGCAAAAGGGCTGGCCGGGTGCCCACAGTCAGCAAGTGAAATCCCAGAGAGATCTCAGCTGTGTGTGTGTGGGCGGTGCCACTGAGAACTCTGGGATTTAATCCCCAAGCTGGGCTCCCCAGCAGAGCACCAAATCTGAGGAGGGTAACCACATAACATCTAGCTGCAAAAAGTAGCAGAATGCTGTCTGCCAGGGAGTGGCAGCTGAAAGTTCAGGCACCCTCTTGAAGAGCCGACGCACAAAAATGCCCTGTGGAGCCACCCACCTTGTGCTCTGACAGAGGGAGGGTAAAGTGAACTGGAGCTGTGACAGCAGAACCCAGAACTGGGGAATCCGGGAATAGAGCTCAGAAGGCAGACACACCAAGTTTCCTGGGCTGAGTCATTCCCTCATGCAGCGGAGGACATCTTTCCCACATAGACATTTGCCTTGTTGGGGGAAGACAGTTGACACACCCTATTGCCCTGAGGCTACTTAAGAGATTAAAAATAACAATTATCCTCTAGTCAGAAGCAACTGTGTCACCCTGTTGAAAAAACTCTAGGATGATTGCTTAGGGGACTTCAAGTCAGGATCCTATTTGTCTGTAAACAGAGGCAGTCTCTGCAGGTTTTGAGTCTTTGCCTTATCCAATTAGTCAGAAATAGTCTTTAACACTGTCCTGCACTAGAGATTAAGAGGTGTAGAGGATGTACCTAAAACAGTGACGGCGAACCTGTGACACGCATGTAAGAGGTGACACGTGAGATCATTTTTTTGGTTGATTTTTCTTTGTTAAATGACATTTAAATATATAAAATAAATATCAAAAATATAAGTCTTTGTTTTACTATGGTTGCAAATATCAAAAAATTTCTATATGTGACACAGCAGCAGAGTTAAGTTAGGGTTTTTCAAAATGCTGACATGCCGAGCTCAAAAGGTTTGCCATCACTGACCTAAAACATAGTCACAAACCCAAAAAGACAACCAAAATAAGGAGACAAAGAAATGACCCCCAAGTGAAAGAACTAGAGTCCTCTCCAGAAAAAGAGATAAATGAAGCAGAAATAAGAAATTTATCTGAAACAGAGTTCAGAGTAATGATAGTAAAAATGCTCAACAGTATGAAAAAAGATATAGTAACTATGAAAAAGAACAGTCTGAGATAAAAAATGACATAACACAAATAACACATTGGAAGGAATACACAGCAAATTAGGGGAAACTGAGCACAGACTCAGTGAATTAGAACACAGAGTTGAAAATATCACTCAATCATAGAACCAAAAAAAGGAAATAATTTAAAAAAACAGGAGGACAGCTGAAGGGAGCTGTGGAACAACATGAAAGATAACAATATTAGAATAGCAGTGGGTCAGAAGAGGTAGAAAGGGAGAAAGGAATAGAGAACATTTTTGAAGAAATAATGGCAGAAAGCTTCCATAACCTCGTAAAGAAAAAAGTCACACAAGTTCAGGAGGCACAGAGAACCCCAAACAGACCCATGCCCAGACACATCATAATTAAGATGCCAAAAATTAAAGACAAAGAGAGAATTGTAAAGGCCGCAAGAGAAAACTGTTACCTACAAAGGGGTTCCCATAAGGCTGACACCTGATTTCTCATCAAAAACTCTACAGGCCAGAAGGAAATGGCATGAAGTACTCAAGGTAATGAAAAGCAAGGATCTGAAACCAAGATTACTACATCCAGCAAGGCTATCATTCAAAATAGATGGTCAAATAAAGAGCTTCCCAGTCAAAAAAAAAAAAGAACGAAAAAGAAAAGGCTAAAGGAGTTCATCACCACCAAGCATCATTATAAGAAATGCTAAAGGGATTGCTGTAAGGGGTTGCTGAGAAGAAGAAACAGAGAGCAAAACCTAGCCATACAGAATTAAAATGGCAATAAATAAGTACCTCTTAATAGTAACCCTAAATGTAAATGGATTAAATGCTCCAATCAAAAGGCATAGAGTAGCTGAATGGACACAAAAACATGACCCAACTATATGCTGTCTACAAGAGACCCACCTCAAAAAAAAAAAATACCCACAGGATGAAAGTGAAGGATGGGAAAAATATTTTCCATGCAAATTGAAAAGGAGAAAAAAAAAAAAGCTGGAGTAGCAATCCTTATCTGACAAAATAGACTTTAAAATGAAGGCCAACACAAGTGACAACAAAGGTCACTACATAATACTGAAGGGATTGGTACAACAAGAGGATATACCCTGGGTAAACATATATGCACCCAATATAGGAGCACCTAAACATATAAAAAACTTCTAGAGGGTTTTAATGGAGAGGTTGACAACAATACAGCCACAGTAGGGGATTTTCACACCCCACTGACTTCACTGGAAAGATCTTCCAGACAAAAACTTAGCAAGGAAACAGAGACTCTAAAGGACACACAGGATCAGATGGATCTAATAGACATTTATAGAATATTTCTCCCCAATGCAGCAGAATATACAATCTTCTCAAGTGCACATGTATCATTCACAAAGATAGACCACATGTTAGGACACAAAACAAGTCTCTACAACTTCAAGAAGATTGAAATCATCACAAGCATCTTCACAAATCACAGTAGAATGAAATTAGAAATCAACTACAATAAAAACACCCAACAACATACAAACACACTTTCATCCTGTGGGTATTCATGTTATTAAACAAGGAATAGGTTCGCAACAAGATCAAGAAAGAAATAAAAAACTTCCTGGAAACAAATGAAAATGAACACAAGCAACCCAAAATCTCTGGGACAAAACAAAAGCAGTCCTGAGAGGGAAGTTCATAGCACTACAGGCCTACCTCAAAAAAACAAGAAAAATCAGCAATACACTATTTCACCCTACAACTTAAAGAACTAGAAAGAGAACAACAAGAAAAGCTCAGAGTCACGAGAAGGAAGGAAATAATAAAGATTAGAGCATAAATAAATAACATAGAAACTAAAAAAAAAAAAATCAATGAAACCATGAGCTGGTTCTTTGAAAAGATGAACAAAATTGATGAACAGTTAGACAAGACTCATCAAGAAACGAAGAAAGAGGACCCAAATAAATAAAATCAGAAATGAAAGTAGAGAAGCAACCATAGACACCACAGAAATACAAAGGATTGTAAGAAAATCCTATGAACAACTACATGCCAACAAGCTGGACAGTGTGGATGAAATAGACAAATACCTAGAAAAATACAATCTCCCAAAACCGAATAAGGAAGAATCAAAACACCTGAATAGGCCAATAACAACTGATGAAATGGAAGC